TCTAGCAAGTTCTGGGTCTTCCCTGGGACCTCCTACCAGTGGGACGTGTCCGAATAAACTCTAAAGGGATGCATCAAATCAGATGCAAGAACCACCTTAACCGACTACTTTCGGTGCAGAGGAGCGGTTCTACGCTGAGCTTCCTCCAGATGATGGAGTTCCTCACCCTATCTTCATGGCTGAGCCCGGCTAACCTGTAAAGGAAGCTCATTTCATCCACTTGTAAGCAGGATCTTGTTCTTTCAGTCATGATCCAAACCTCATGACCACAGGTGAGGGTTGGAACGTAGCCAGACTAGTAAATCGAGAGCTTTGCCTTTCACCGCAACTCTTTCTTCACCACAACCGACCAAAGCAACAACCTTATTACTGAAGATGAGGATCCAATTTGTTGATCCATCTATCGTTCCATCCTACCATCGCTCAGGAACAAGATGCCCAGATACCAAAACTCTTCCACCTAAGGTAACGGCTCCTTGCCAACCTGGAGGGGGCATTCCACCCATTTCCTGTTGAGATCCATGGCCTCAGACATAGAGGAACCGACTGATGTGCCACGAAGCACACACAATGGTGAACTAATGAGTGAGGTGAAACTAAAGGGACTATAAGGACTGGTGCTGATGTGAAGATTGGAGACAGCTGAGCTCAATGAGACAGGGGACATATGAGCAGGTGTGGGAAGACTGAGGAGCAAGAGCTGAACTGAGGAAAAGTACTGGGGGAAAAACGAGCTTATGGAACTGAAAATAATTATGGACGGACTCAATTTAAAACAATCGTTTTGTTTTTATAAAAGTATGGAGCACAAGAACCAAAAAGACTTGAGGACACAATGGATTAAAAGTAAGGAGGCTGGGACAGTGTGTGGGACGATTGGTGAGAGACAAAAGATGGAGGATGTTATTTTTATGGCTAATTTAGATGAAAGAATGAATATTTACTGTGTGGTTGTTGGTTTTCAGGCTCAGAGAGGAAGGCAGGAGGAGATGGCAGAGTAGATTTCCAGGATACAGGTTGATGGTTCATCAGAGAGTGAGAGATTGGACACGGTGATTAGGCTGAATCAGAAATGTCGGGTTTTAGTTTCCGAATCCAGGACTGGGACGTTCAGGAGGAGCTGAATCCAAACCGAGGATGAGATGTTACAAAGGAATAAGGAACTCGGATGCATTTTCATTCATTCATTCATTCATTCATTCAACCTTCATTTATACAGAAAAATCGCATTGAGCCTCGAAGACTCATTTACAAGTGAGATCTGTGTAGACGGACAAAAAAGTACTGAAAGTGTACACATGTAGGAATTGGAGGCAAAAAAATCCTATCAAACTCTTTCTTCTTGGCTGAGAAGAAAGACCC